GAGTTTTTCAATCCTAATATCACGGTCCGATTTTGTAATTCCCCATGTAATTCTTTAAATGACGTATGATAAGTATATAGGTCTACCCCTCTATACTGTCAGTATAGAGGGGTAGACCTGTATATACTTACATGTATCATGCGTCATTTACAGAATTACATGGGGATCGCCTATGCGATTTTGTCAAAATCAGAATTAATCTGGTACCGCAGCTGAATGTAAACAGGCCAGTCTGGTTCCCTCTCCTGCTTTACCTCGTATGTGTAGAGATCGAACTACAATAATACTGATTATGAAAAATCCTTACGCTAATGAACTATGTTCTTTGACTCAGGACTGAAGTTTTCAGTTAACCCCCCCCCCCTGGTTCCCCCCTTTTACCTTTTCTTTGTTGATTTAACCCCCCCCCCAACTCTCGATTAGCCCTCCCTCCACTTTCAATTTGCTTTCGACGCCCATGCTGTGATCTGTTTTGGTTTCCCTATCGGGGAAACAAAACAGATCACAATATGGGCATCAAAAGCAAATTGGCTAATCAAAAGGGGGAAAGCTAACCCAACCAAAAAAGGTTAATCCCAATATTCGATGCTTATATAATGTCTACTTTTGCAAAAAAAAAAATGGGGGCTAATCCCCCCTCCTCTAGCCCCCCCCCCCCCTGTTCTGACGCCTATGCGACAGAATGCAGAGACATCGGCCGTTATAATTGATAGCCCACGACCGCGGCCCTTTACATTACTGATTAGTTGTCTGTATGTCGAGAATCAAACAGGCCAGTCAATCTATGCTCAGACTTGATAACACTAGTAAACTTCCCGAAGTATATGTCTCGGGAATTACAAAATCCAAAAAATGATTAGATTAAAGAAATGAAATCCTTCGTAACGAACCAAAACAAACAATCCTTCAGATACAATGCAAATGAAAAATTATACGATACAAATGAAAAATTATACAAGAGAAATGGAAAATTCTAGAATACAAATAAAAATTATACAATACAAATAAAAATTATACAATACAAATAAAAATTATTCAATACAAATGAAAAGATATACAATACAAATGAAAAATTATACAATGCAAATGAAAAACTATACAATACAAATGAAAAATTATACAAGACAAATGGAAAATTATACAATACAAATAAAAATTATACAATACAAATAAAAAATTGTACAATACAAATGAAAAAAGATATATAAAAGACAAATGGAAAATTATACAATACAAATAAAAATTATACAATACAAATGAAAATTATACAATACAAATAAAAAAAATATTCAATGCAAATGGAAAATTATACAATACAAATGGAAAATTTTACAATACAAATCGAAAAGATCGAATATTTCAACGTTTGACTTGTCATATGTGTCACCCACATGTATGAGATAAATAATCATATTCACCGGAAATGAGGTCGTATTCACCGGAAGGGCAGTGCACGTGAAGCGACAGCGTGACGTCACAATCAACATTGCAAACAACGTTGTAAACAAAGGTTGCAACAGCCGAACCAAGCTATGTATTTGAGCAGAAAAGAATGTAAGAAAAACCTAATTCAAGGTTATTTTTAAACATCTGGACGTCTTACACATAGCTATAGGAAACTCGAAAAGGAAAACACGGAGATGACATACTCTAATTTTTTTTAATTACTATTAGGTACTGGTATATGCAAGTGTCCCACCAGATTACACATTTTTAATGTCTCCATCCGACATAGAAAGCAGTTTTGAATGTCTTGCATACATCCTCTCTTTAATTTGTTTCACTGAGGATGATTTGTACATATTTTGTGTTTCAGATGGGAGTTGATGGATATTTTCAAGCATAGATTTGCGATTCTGTACCCAGGCACACGGATGTACCTGGTAGCTCCTCCGCATAAGTATGGTCTCCTGCTCGCAGAACTTTATAACACGCTTTTTTTTGACAAAAGCTTGATGTTCAATATACTCTGCAATGCAAAAAAATCATAGTAAAAATGAAAAAGTTTCTTAAAGGGCAAGAGCCATGTTATGCATAAAATGGCCCTGTACTTATATCAATTGATTAACTATCACCCTCTCTCCCATTTCATACATGAAAATAAAGTAGACACTTAGTGCTTTCATTTTCTATAATACAATTTAGTTTTGAGAATCCACATATTGGAAAACAGGTTTGAGAAATTGCAATGTTCTTGAAAGTTGCAGAAAACATGCCTATTTGACTACCTTCAGCAAAGAATTAAAATATGAGCACAGCCCGCGATCCAAAAAATAAAACATGTTTTTTGATCTTTAGAAAAAGAGCTTTCATTATTTATTTGTATATTTTGGATTAGAGGTTGTGCTCTGTATGAAATATTTAAAAAATGCTTTAACTTTAGATCATTTTCAAAGGAATTTACAGGATAGGAACAAAATGACGCATATTATGACTTCATAATGCATTAACTAGATGAAAAATTACGTCACGATTGATAAATACACGGTCACCAACATTCCAAGTGTTAAATACTGCATTTGCAACCTAAAGTGAGCGGTTTTGATTTTTCAAAAATTCTCAGGGCCAAATAAGGCCCAAAGTGGCTCTTGCTCTTTATAAAGTGTATTTAGGCAGAGAGTGAATGTCTGTCAACTGAATATGGTGTGTATGCATGTGTGTGGGGTGGGATGGGGGGGGGGGGGGGTAGACTAAGATCACTTTATAGGTATTTATTTATAGAAAATACACGTATTAAAAAATACACCTTTTTTTATCTAACTAGTTGGACTAAAAGGAATAAAGAGAATCAGTTTAGCAAACGATTCGTATTAATCTAAAACTAATCAAGGAATCTTGTTGTTATCAAAGCGCTCTATTTCTGTACGTGTGTTATTGTCCTATAAATATCTCCAATTCATTTGGATTCAATTTTATTTTTCTGGTACACATATTAACAAAAAATTTGAAATTTGGTGCAGAAGTTGATATCAAGTGATTCTATCCCCCTCTCCAAATACATTTATTTATTTATTTAAGCATGCATGTATAATTACAAACAGAAATGCATAATATTAAGAGAATCATACTTCTTTGAGGTTGATCCCTAAGAGAAAACAGAGTGAAATTAAACTTACCATCTGGAATATCTGGAAGCGCATCCATTTCTTTTTATTTTCTTTTTTTTTACAAAGTGTGTATTAATATGTTTATTACATGCTAAGTAATAAAATACAGCATACATTAAGTTGAGAAGAAAATAAGTAAAGAATCATGCATGACCTTCTTACAGACATTATCTCATACGATTTGAGTTTGTTTCTACTTCTATTTCAATGCACTCGATCAGTAATTTGAAAATAATTTATTACATGTATTTGTAAATTAAGTTTAACCTTACTTTCAAAAAGTTAAAATTAAGAGAATTATGTAACCAGAAATATGTGTATGATCATAAGTACTGTATTTGTGGTTTAATTTACAAAGGGTTTGATATTGATCCGTATCAGCCCTGCACGGCTATTGTGACGTCAGCCATATCGCATATGAAAAAAACCTGTATTTATTACTAAGTGTGTAATAAAATGATATAAAATCCATGAAGACACACTGTTTCACTCATATTTTCACATCGTCGACATTGCAATGCTGGTCGATATCGAGTCGACATCGTCAACATTACCTTCTTATTTTTTGTTTACATCGTTCACATTGTCGACATCGCAATTTTGGTCAATATCGAGTCGATGTCGTGTCAACATTGCCCTTTTTATTTTTCTTGTTCACATTGCTCACATTGTCGACATTGCAATGTTGGTCGATATCGAGTCGACATCGTGTCAACATTGCCTTTTCAAAATCTTGTTTACATCGTTCACATCGTCGACATCGCAATGTTGGTCGATAACGAGTTGATGTGTCAACATTGCCCTTTTTATTTTTCATGTTTGCATTGTTCACATCGTCGACATTGCAATGTTGGTCGATATCGAGTCGACATCGAGTCAACATTGCCTTTCTTATTTTTCTTCATTACATCGTTCACATTGTCAACATTGCAATGTTGGTCGATATCGAGTCGTCATCGTGTCAACATTGCCGTTTTTCAAAATATTGTTTACATTGTTTACATCGTCGACATCGCTATGTGTGTCGGTAATTGAGCTGATGTTTTGTTAACATTGCATTCTTATTATTTTTTGTTTATATACTTAGTATCCGTGTTGGCCTATATCGAGTCGTCATCATGTTATCTTTACGTTTCCTTTTTTTTGTTTTTTTTTTATCTTGGTAAAATTATTGACAACGCATTTAACGCATAAAATCAAGTTGAGTTCATATTGATAAGGCAATATATTCTGTTTACTTTTTGCACATCATCACCAGGGCAATCTTTGACTCTTATGAATCCACATCAAGTGTTAATCAAGTATGAAGCATGTCTCTTTTATTCTGAAAATGAACTAAAACACTGATGTTCAACCTAGGAAACAGTGTTGGTCATCTGTGCAGACCATTGTACAGTTATCAATACACAGACAATACATAGACATTGTTAACGCGATATCGTATCAAAGTTGTTTACGTTGCGATGTCGACGATGTCGTCATTTAGAAATAATAACAAAGTAGACGATGTAAATGCAATATCGCATCAACATTGTCAGCATTGCGATGTCGACGTCGACGATGTCATGTAGAAATAATAACAATTAGACAATGTAAACGCGATATCGTATCAACATTCCTTACATTGCGATGTCGAGGATATTGTAATGTGGAAACAATGATAATATAGACGATTCACATGTAAATGCGATATTCTATCAACATTGATTACATTGCAATGTCGACGTTGACAATGTCGTCATGTAGAAACAATTACAATGTAGACGATGTAAACACGATATCGTATCAACATTGTTAACATAGCGATGTTGACTTTGAAGTTGTTGTTATGTAAAAACAATAACAATGTAGATGATGTATTCACGATATCGTATCAACATTGTTTACATTGCGATGTCGACAATATCGAATTCATTAAGGGAACTGGACATGAATGAACACACGAATTTATCTCAGTATATTGACCAATGGCAGACAAGGAAACGGGTAAACAATGATTCATCATTTGTGGGAATACCTTTTAGTTCGAAAAGTTTCCATGTCAGATTCATCGGCAATCAGGAAAAATCTGAAAAGAGGAGAATGAAAAAGTCAAATTTAGTTATAGTCAAATGTAATGACAGGTTTTAATTTGGGATTTAATATGAACTATGTTTTAGAAGAGAGTTTCTGAAGCTTTTCATGATTAAATAAGAAATAGGCTTAGTTATGCATTCTACTTTCTTTTTAAACAATAATTTAGGGGTTGGTAGGGTGTTTATAAGTAAACGTTGTTCCTTCATTTGTACTGGTCACCTTAAATACAAATAATTTATTTACATGTATTTGCAACATGGATTCTTTGTTGTTTCGAATTTCCTGTTAAAGATCACTAGGGCTATTTTATTCCTCCTGTATTTTGAAAATGTTGAAGTGATCACATTTATCAAATATAAAAATAATTTCACATTCATTAAAACATTTTGATAAGGAATAGTTTACTTAGAGAGAAACTTGAGGGGGATATAAAACTTCAATAAAAAAATTCCTAATATTTGATTTTTCTTATGATAATTGGGTTTGTGCATTTTTGTTATTTAAATACCCCCCCCCCCCTTAGAAAATATATATTTATAATAATACTGAAAAAAGAACACTCATTGGAAACTTGATCATTGTGAACCTTCAAACACAGATATTTTAATAGTGGCATTAATTATAAAGTAATCATGCATTGTATAATTATCAAATAATTCAATCAAAATTTATCATTGCAGTGATATTAGAAGCCTTGATCATCAATCTTCTGATACTGAAGGTATAATTTTTAAGTTTTCTTTAATTTTTTTTAAAGAATTTTTTAAGTTTTCTATATTTTTCCTTTGAAATTCCAGACATTTCATCCATATTTGATGAAATTAGTATGTTCATGCATGAACCAGCATGTCCTTTATGAATTTAAATGTGCACTGTTACATGATATCTGGACATTAAATATGTTCCTAATGCATGAAAAATACATATTTCAAAATTTAATAAAAATTCTGGAACTGCAGAGCTTCTGTACATATACTTGTTTAAGTTGACAATCGTAAGTATGTTGTACTTTATACTTACATCTCCTCTTTGAATGGGGCTGTGAATTTAATATGCTGTATCAGTTGACAGCCCTTTTAGCTGTGGCACATTAATTTCAGATATTTAAACCAGCTTTTGTTTTTCTTTGAAAAGATTTGATAAGTAAAATATATGTTTAACTCTAAGTCTAAAATCTTTAACGTTTTGTGCATGGTGATTGACGTGTATTTATCATTATACTAAGTGTCACCTGTCTGAGTTGACAATTAAATCAATTTAAATCTTAAATCATTTCTTTTTCTTCAGTTAGCGACATTTCATATGTAAGACTTAAATATTGATTTCAATAAATCATTTTTGGGGAAAAATTGGGACAGAATGCAAAATTGTATGATTGCAATCGTTTTCCTAAATTTATCTAGAGTAGACGTAAGTTAATCTTAAATGTTGCTATTAAGAGAAAATAACATTGAATTTCTACAAAACTTAAGGGTTTGCTTGCGATACAAAAGTATATAAACTATATATACATTAATTGTTAATATTCAAGGATATGTTGCGAATGTCATTGAAATCATTAAAGCATAGCATTTTTCCCCTCAATTTGAAACTTTTCCAAGCGTAATTCTGAAGTGGATTACCCTAACACAGATATAAAATGATAACATGCTCTATCAAGTTGGGATTTAAATTACAACTGCTATATATATATATATATCTACTTTATTGTCAACCTAACTTGAAAAGTGTACTGGAATATGAAATCAATATTCTTTTTAAATAGCTTGGGTATATTATTAAGTAGGAACTACGCGTAGCTGTCAATTTGTTAAATTTTTGAAATTTGAAACTTATACCCTGGTATATTTATTTTATATGTCTTAATACTTACATGTATTACATGTAGCTTTGTTAACTTAGATTTCGATACATATACCTAAGTTTTCTTTTTTATATACATTAACAGGAAAAAATATAAATATCCTTGGTATGTTCTCTTCAAATTCATTTGAGAGTAAAAAAAAATAAATATAAGACATCTATTGAGATGAAAGTACAAAAAATCATCTTCAAAATGTACATGCCCCCAAACTGTAACCCTTTTGTCCACACCCCATGAACCTTAAAGAATTAAACATATACATGTGAATACAGTGCAGATTCACACTGGGTAAAATTCTACAAGTAAGTGCCATGGATGGACAAATCAAATTACTTTGCTAAAAGTGTGTAATTTGTAACAGTTTACAATTCACATGTCTAATATATCCACATATATGTTTATATAAAGCCACAGTCCACAGAAAAAAAAATCACTTCTCTCCAAGTGTATTCATTCACTCATTAGTGTGTTTGTTGTATAATACAATCCAATCTACTAATTTTATATAAATTATTTAAATTATACACGTATATACATGTAGTTGTGCTTTCTTTTCGTTCCATAATTATTATAGTAAAAATATCAACCTATGCTTTAAAAAAAAAACAAGAAAAAAACTAAATGTCGAAGATTTATTTTTCCAGGTAATTTTAAACAAGTAGCAATGATTTTTTTTTTATTTTAGAAAATTTAAATTCAATTTCTTAAGCTTCTTTCTTTCACAGGAAGTCAAATGTAACAGTGATTCCTGTCCAGTATCAAGACAAACTATGGATATTGTTCCAAACTGTCCGACCAGTGAATCAGAATGGCAAAAAGCTTCTCAAAGAAAGAACTGTTCAGCTTTTGCCAGTCAATGTAGTGAACCTGACAAACTTTTGTACCATTGTGTGATAAATCCATTTGTGAATCAAACATTGGAAGTATGTGCTTATGGAATGTACATTCATCTAGGTACGTTGAATATGTTTGTTAATCTTGCACTGAGTAGCACGTATATATGGTTAAATGAAATTTATTAAAGCAAATCAAGAAACATGGACTAAAAAAATAAAAAAAAAGTTTAAGTTCAATTTCAAAAATTTCAAGAGAATTTCACATTTATTTAACAATAATCTATAGAGTGTTTTTGGGTAAAGCGTGTGCAATGTCCTTGAACTATATTCCTAGGTGTAAGGTTAAGGTTATAGCAGAATTAAATGAAAACTCCTTGTTCAGAGCATATCTTCTTTCCCCTTGGTTCAATGTGACACATACTTCACTCACAGAGTGCCACTGGTTAATGAATGTGCAGTGACCTTGAACTGAGTTTAGGTCAAGAGTCATAATGGTCTCTCTCTATAAAACCATTGTATCAGTGCATTATTTCTTTCATTTATGTCCAGTCAGCCTCAAACTTTACCAATTTACTTAGGATATGGAATATTTGTGATTTTCCCTTCATATTTTGATACAGGTTATGCAACAATTATCATAAAGGATATGCTGCATTCATGAATCTTGTGCTGTTATTTGATAGACAGTGAATAGAGTACTGGTATTCACGATTTGTGCACTATTATTTTGAGCATTCCCTTTCATCATACAAATACTTTTTTTAAATTTTATTATTTTTCAGAGAGTATTTACTTTTTGTCCCCTTTAGACTCAAACAACACATACCTTAATGCTATTATATAGATGTTCCTCTTCAGAATAAGCCCTTTTCACCTACCTTACATTTTTATTGCTGAAATTTAGGCAGTGAAAGCGGGACCTATTTCTATATACATCCTTCTTTGGAGAGTGAAAAGAAAGTATATGTATATCAAAGATACTAGTACCAGAAGTCAAAGGAAATTCGGTAAACATTTTGGCACTGGGCCATTTAAATGATAGGTAATGTAGACCATAGTGCAATGCTAAATAAAATCGTGCACATGTGGAGGGCTTTTAAAAAAATGCGAAAATAAACACTTTGAAAAGAAATTTATCAATTGTATATTCACCATGTAGATAATGAACACACTGTCCTGGGTGCAATTTTTCTTGCTGAAATCAGTCGAATGTGCATTTATATAGAAAATCAATTTTCAGTTAACTAGCACATAAGATTCTTTGATAGAAGTGCATAAGATATCTAGCACCTGTTAGATTTTGTGTAAGATTGAAAAGAAAAATATTAAAAGTCTTAGCTCACCTGAGCTGAAAGTTCATGTGAGCTTTTTTGATCACAATTTGATTTTTGCGTAGCCTGGGGGGGGGGGGGTGTTCGGGCTATATAGGGTTTAGGAGGGATTGACAATGTCTACACTTAGGTACTAGTATTTTTATGCCTCTTGTGAGAAACAGCAGCCTAATAGTGATGTGAAAAATAACCAAACAAAGATATGCAGTTTTGTCGAATATGCAATTTAATTGAAATGACATAAAGTAAAATGTAGAACAAATCATTAAGGGGGATCACCTAATATTAAACAATACAGGTTACATGTACATAGGTGAAAGGTACAAGTGTGATCCCCCTGAGACTGACTAGATATTTATATGCAGTGAACAAATCAGAGTGCATGTAAAAATGTATAAAACATAACATTAATAAGTAAATTCTTGGAGGCGTCCAAACAATTGCGCAACAAGCCCTCACGCAGTGTCACTAGGTGAGGGGTTGATGCCAAACAAGGATAAAAAATCATAAGAAAACATTTTTATAAAAACAATTAAATACAGAAATTTACAGCATTATATATATATATATATATATATATATATATATATATATATATATATATATATATATATATATATATATATATATATATATATATATATATACAACAATATTGAACTTGAAGTTCATATGACATTACATACTTTTAAGACTAGATGTTCTTGATGAATAACAATTACTGATGCAACAAAGACATTAACATTCATCTGTTAGCTGTTCAATTGTGGAGCAATTGTGGATCAAGGGAAGCCAAAATGTATGGGCTTTAAAAGGTTTGGGGGGGGTCTGACAATGTCTACACTTAGATACCTTTATTTTTTAAATTCTGAATATTCATAAGATTTTGCTTAAAATATTAAGAAAATTAGTCTAAAGAGGGAGATCATGACATTTCATGAAAAAAGGGGGAGGAGGAAAGGGGGGGGGGGGGGGTAAAGGGAAACACTTCAAGCTGTGTGACTCAATTGTATTACTGATTACTGTATAAATCAGATGTTATCTTATTAGCTGCTTATCCATGTGTCTGTCTGTACCAAATATCCCTGCATCTTGCCATACCGCAATATACACAAAACTGAAGAGAATATTGTTTATTAATAATTTAAACTTTGGTTCACAGACTTCTTGTGTTTTTTTTTTAAATTATGCTAATAACGTGTTTTTAACTTTTTCCCTTAAATTAACTTAAGAAATGATGATGAAAAAAAAATTCTGTACCCTTTAGCTTAAAGTTTCATAAAGGAACATATATTGATCTGATATCGAGACACATTGTAAATGTATATTATTTCCTATAGGCACAGACATCTAATTTTGACAATATTTACAGGTTATTGTACGGAGTACAGCTACAGTGGCAATATAATCCAGCAGAATTATGATACAGACTGTTCCAAGTTTACCCAGAATCCATGTCCCAGTGGCTACCACTCCACAGAAGCATACAAATGTAAGTGTTCAATAGAATACACAATTTTACTTAACTGTGTATATTTTATTCTTTAACTTAAATTAATTTTGCTGAATAACAAAAAAAAAAAAAAAAAATGAATGGAGGAAGGGGCCTGGGAGGGGGAGGGGGTGTCTGTGTCAGTTTAATTCCCTCCTCCATTCATTTTTCTTTTCTTTATGCTAATAACGTGTTTTTAACTTTTTCCCGTAAATTAACTTTAGAAATGATGATGAAAAAAAAATTCTGTACCCTTTAGCTTAAAGTTTCATAAAGGAACATATATTTAATATGATATCGAGACACATTGTAAATGTATATCATTACCTATGTTGCGCCTCCCACCTCGGGAGAGAGTGGGGCAACTGTGTGGGCTTTCCACTCTCGTATGTTAACTTATAAATTAATAATTAAGTCAGGATAAAAGTTCAACAAATAAAATTTATTTACACTATGTACAATTAAATGTAAGGATTGTTATAATAAAAATCACAATACAATATATATACCAGTCTCTTATAAAGTGAAGTCACTCCCACAACCCGTAGGTAAAATCTAAATCTCCCAAAATAATTATAAAAATTAGCTACTTGTACTAAAATATACTTTCCTTGGTTTAATATAATTTATTTATGCCTATTCTGTAAGACCTATATAGTTTTAATAATAAATTGTAACTCCCATAAATTCTCCCATAAGTTTTCCCGTCGATGGGTCTCCCACTCTACTTATGGGTCTCCCACAGGGATATCTCAGCGTCTCAATTTAATATAACTTGACTAATATAATTACCCATCTGGTCTGCATAGGGTCTGCCATCCCTTTAATGATTACCAATGATGGGAGTACTTCTAAAATAATAATCTGGAGGCTTTCGTATCCTCCCAACTTCTCCCCCCTTCTCCTCTAGCAGACGAAATTTTCGCTTCTTTATATACCTTTACTGTACCCACTGGTAACCTCAATTAGCCAATCGCTGACCCGGAATGACCCTACGCCACTTCCGGTATAAACAAATCAGGGAAAGTGCACGCAGAGAAGTTTTCTAATAGAAAATCATTACTAACCATACAAAATGGGATTTTATCTACCAAAATACGATAAGTACAAGTAGCTATTACGTTATTAAGTTGATTTAAACAATGACAAAACAATGTTCAAAGACGAAATGTGATAATTGACTTTAAACATGCTATCGAGATCGAGACCGGGTCGAAATACAGTGAACCCGATTCCAAAACAATATTATATGATTGACAGCATATAACTTATTTCTTTTACAACTTTTTATTAATTATTTAATAACAAACAATCATGTACATATCAATATGCTGATAACAACTGCATACGCTGCGAGTGATCAATGAAATATATAAAAGTGACGAAACGAATTTCGTAACATAGCCCCCTCCTGAAGAAAACATTCGTCCCGAATGCAACTGGACTTGGGTCTACTGAAAACATCACTTGCAGTTATAGAAGTAAGTATGAATCAATATAACAATAATGCAATTAAAATGTACAATGACATGCATAACATGACAAGAAGTAGCATTAATAAAATATGATAATCAATCATATCACATTAATTGAATCCATATACTCATCGCAATGACTAATGCTACATGTAATTATTATATAAAAACATTTCGGCTACATCCATCCCTTAACTACTTGATATTTATAACAACAACAACAAAACAAAAGAACTGGACTTAGTTGGATTTACAATACTTCTCCTATCATCAAAACATTTGACATGAATGAGTATTTATAAAAATTGGACATATATTCCAAAACACACAAATCATATTTTATCTTCACAAATTACAGTTATTCTTCTGAGAACTCTATGTGTCCAAAGATCATTACAAACAGCTGGCTACCAATTATTTCGACTAGCGTCTCTAATCTATAATATACCGCTTCGATGTGGATTTTCCTTAAGGTCCTTACGTCATTAGGTAAATGACAATTAATGTTCTTCGGTCCATCTCTCATGTAATGGAGTATGACATCGAAGTAGGTGGCATCACGGTCAATAAAGTAGACTGGTAGGTTCCCTCTATCCAGTATATTATAAGCAGGTAATAAGGTGGGGTCCTCCATCATCCTTGCGAAAAGGGAATCAGGTTGGTTTGTAAGAGTGGCAACTGTCGTCACAAATAGTTTCCCGCCAACATCCAGACCAATACATTGTTGTGACACTAAGGGATGTGCGCTACCACTGGAGGAAGTCTGTATCGAAACGTCTCGTTTGTCAAACTCCCTCTCCGTCATGGTTGTTAGGATTCTACTCGGTGTAGAGGTAACAGGAGGCTCCGTTATTGAAATATCAGGAGTAAGAAGATCTTCTTCATCTGACGAGTCACTTAAACTGTCCCCGAATAATCGTTTGAAAGACCTCCTCTGCGGTGTATCGTTCTTACTCTGACGTGATGATGTTGACTTTTCCGACTGCAGGAGTGGAGACGCTGGGATGGACTTGGGGCTTCTCAGTCGACAAGAGAGCAGGCGCTGGGGTGGACTTCACGGTCGGCATTGATAGGAGTGCAGGCGCTGGGTCGGACTTCTCGGTCGACAGGAGCGCAGGCCCTGGAGTGGGCATCTTGGTTGACAAGGGCGCAGGCGCTGTGTCGGACTTCTCAGTCGACAGGAGCGCAGGCCCTGGAGTGGGCATCTTGGTTGACAAGGGCGCAGGCGCTGTGATGGACTTCTCGGTCGACATCGACAGGAGTGCAGGCGCTGGGGCGGACCTATGTGATGACAGGAGTGCTGGCGCTTGTGCGGATCTCTTTGGTCGCTTCTTGGCATTCCGTCCTTGGTGAGGCTCCGTGTATATTGCTCTCTTTTTTGCTTGGCCCTGGTGGTACGGCTGATCGCTGAACACTAAGGGGAGCTCCTTCATGAAGGGCACGACATGTCTCCCTCTCCCACGTTGGAAGGCCTCAAACTCCTTCTCTTCCTCTATGGTGAGCGTGAGTGTTGATTTCTTCACTCTCTGCAGGGTCCTGCCCTCACACCCGTGCTTTTGATCTTTTCGTCCAAGTACGATCCCGCAAGTGGCACATCGGAACACGAACCCCGAGTGCACTGCAGTCATGTGCCTCTCACAGTGACTCTGTTGCGTGAACTCTCTGTCTTCTGTGCATAGTCCACATTTGAATCTTTGGATCTGTAAAGTAATAAAGGGATACTTAGTCCCTCATTTCTGACAACATCCCAAACATTAATAATGGGCATAATAAAACTGCATATTAATATGATTTACTAAAATTTCCGACAAAATGATGAGTATATTTAATATTCACTAAGCTACATATATTTCGAGGCAGATCCCATATTTCTAGTTGGGTCTATTACTTCCTTTGTAAGGCTTCAACAAATTATAGTGAACAACCTTGGATTTACTTTTTGTTGTTTTTCTAATTTTGTATATAACATCATTGATTCTTTTCAGAATTAAGTAAGGTCCTAACCAACGACATTGGAGCTTGGGTGATCCCATTTTATTAATATTATGGGCGTAGTACCATACAAGATCTCCCTCTTCATAACCTTGAAAATTTATCTTTGAATTGTATTCCCTTAACATTTTTTCTGTAGCTAAACTCATTTTATCCCTGGCAAACTCATGTATTTTATCCATAGATTGAGACAATTTGTAAGCATATTCTGACATTTCTAATGTACTTTCAGGTTGTAACCTTCCCAATACTAAATCGGCTGGGAGAGAAACATGCCTACCAAACATCATCTCACATGGACTTACGCCAGTTGACTCGTGCTGGGCTGACCTATAAGCTAACATGAGCAAGGGTAAATGTTCGTCCCAATCTTTCTGATTTTGAGAAACAAATGATGCTAACATATTTTCTATTGTTCTGTTTGCCCGCTCTACCAACCCATCTGACTGAGGTCTATATGGTGAGGTTCGGGTTTTCTCGATGCCTAAAATCCTACACATTTCCCTAAATACATCTGACTCGAATGATCTTCCCTGATCACTGTGGATTTGCATGGGTGTTCCAAAAATACTAACTATTCTATCAATTAACTTTTGAGCGACTGTGACAGCTTTCTGATTACGTATGGGTACCGCATCCACCCATTTTGTAAAATAATCGCCCATAACTAAGATGTAGAGATTTCCCTTATTGGATTTGGGCAATGGTCCCATAACGTCAATTGCTACCCTCTCTAAAGGAGCACCAACCACATATTTTTGAAGTGGGGCTCTCATCCTCCTATTAGGGGATTTTCTAGACTCACAAGTGTCACATGTAACACATCAATGTTTTGTATCAGTACTCATTTGGTACCAAAAATATCTTTCCCTTACTTTAGATAGGGTTTTCTTAATACCTAAGTGACCTCCTGTAGTACTATTGTGTAATAGGGTCAAAACTTCTCCCACTAAAGCTTTTGGGATCACTATACAATAATTTCTTTCTAACCCATCATGGACATAGTACAAGGTATTGTGTCTGTACTCTAAAGACTCGAATCGAACCCAATAAAATTTACAAGTCTCACTTAAATGGGATATATCTTCCCAACTGGGTTGAGTTCCATCTTGTACCCACTTAATAACATGCTTTAAATCTGGGTCTTCATTTTGATATTTTCCCACATCAAAATTTTCTGTGCTAATTAATCTTTCTTTATTTTCAGGTGCCTTTTGTTTCGACCTAGTTTCAATAACTGAACACTTTTGTGTAGATTCTTCAGGTAGGTATTTTACCTCTGCTTTAGCACAGTATGTACACTCCACATCAGCACAAGGTCTGCGGGATAAAGCATCTGCGTTCCCATGCAAGCGACCTGGCCTGTGTTCTATTTCAAATTGGTAAGAAGCTAATGTTTCTAGCCAACGGGCTATTTGACCTTCGGGATTCTTAAATTTCAGAAGCCATCGTAATGAACCATGGTCTGTTCTTATTTTAAATACTTGCCCATAAAGATAATGGTGAAAGTGTTTGATGGACTGAATAATAGCTAACAATTCCCGTCTAGTCACACAGTATCGGCGTTCAGCCGTATTGAATAGCTTACTATAGTAACTTATGACTTTTTCTTCCCCATCCTGGATTTGGGATAGTACAGATCCCATGCCAGTGTTTGAGGCATCTGTATCTATCACATATTGTCCCTCTTTCTTGGGATAAGAAAGTATTGGGCTGCTGGTTAAAGCTCTTTTCAACTTGTCAAAGGCTTCTTGACAGTCTGAGTCCCATACAAACTTTTGGGATTTTTCTGTTAATTTGTGCAAGGGCTTAGCTATTACAGAAAACCCTTGAACAAATTTCCGATAATAGGAACAAATACCTAGAAAACTACGGACATCCCTAACATTTTTAGGTGTGGGCAAATCTTGGACCGCATCAATTTTGTCAGGGTCAGTCTTTATTCCCTGTTCACTGATAATATGTCTTAAGTATGCTACTTTCCTCTGTAAAAGTTTGCACTTTTTAGGGTTGATTTTAAGGTTTGCTTTCTTTAATCTACTGAACACTTTTTCTAAGTTCCTAAGGTGTTGGGAAAAATTAGGGGCTAAGACAATAATGTCATCAAGATATACCATGCAAATTTCCCACGACAAATGAGAGAGTACTTTTTCCATCAATCTTTGGAAAGTGGCCCCCGCGTTGCACAAACCGAATGGCATGACAGTAAAATTCCAATGACCACCCCCCGGGATTGAGAATGCTGTTTTAGGTTTATCTTCCTCTGCTACCTTAACCTGCCAATACCCACTTTTCAAATCTATAGTGGAATAGTATTTTGATCCGGAAAGGGCATCTAATATTGACTCTATCCTAGGAATAGGGTGACTATCCTTGATAGTTACCTCATTGAGTTTTCTAAAGTCTATACAAAACCTTATCGAGTTATCTTTCTTTTTAACTAGAACTATAGGGGAGCTCCAGGGACTATCTGATTCTTCAATCACTCCCTTAGCTAACATTTCTTTAATTTCCCTATTAACATCTTGCATTTTGGCGAGAGGAATTCTCCTTGGGGCTTGTTTAATGGGTCTATTATTCCCAGTATCTATTCTATGCTCTGCCATATTTGTAAGTCCCATATCCTCAGAATTTTTAGAGAAACAACCCTGATACTCTACAAGTAAATCTTTTAATTGCTCTTTTTCAATTTCTGTTATTCCAATACATGTCTCTTCATACAGATTTTTCAAATGTTCTGGTAATTTAGTGGGGGTATCTTCTAAGCTGATTTCTGATATAGCTAAACTATCATCTTTTAACATAGAGACTTTCTCCATTCCTCCCATAAGACTATTTTTATGGAGTTCAATTTCCCTATCTGACACATTCATGACTTTTAATGGGATTATCCCAGATGTGGGGTTTACAAGTGTCCTAGCCACTAACACTTCATGTTTACCCATAAATTCTATATTTGGCTCTACCAAAGCCTCATCCCATTTAGGAATAGAATCCAAAATTCTACCATGGGCAATAAACTCTGAGTTGGGAGGTACTTTCACGTCCTCCATTAATGCAACTCTAAAGGTACAATCTACCTCATCACTACTAAATCTAAAACAAGGGATCTCTTGACCCTTAACCCGTAAACACATCTTTTGTACTAAGATATCACATGAATGTTCAGTCATGAAGTCTAAACCTAAGATACCGTTGTATCTAATATCAGCTACTATCACTTTGTGGGTGATTTCATTTTTCCCCATTTTAAAATGGACTTCACATTTCCCACTATTTGGTATTGGGTCCCCTGTAGCAGAGACTGGTTTCACATCATAGGGTTCTAAGGGAGGTGATTTCCCTCCAAAACATTTCTCTAAAAATTGGGTACTGATAATGGTAACATCTGCCCCAGAATCTACTAAAAATCTGCATTCTTTCCCATTGATTTGTGTGGGAACAAATATACCTGATTCAATTTTGCTTGCATTATGAACAATTACTTTGGTAGCTTGAGAAAGGGTTTCTTTTGGGCCAGATTTCTCTCCCATATCCCTCTCAACTTTTTCATTCCCATCTCCCTCATTTGAGGTCAAAAGAGTATCATTAACATTTGATTCATTTTTATTTTCACCTACAATTTCCTGAAACTTTGTTTCATTTTCCTGGGGTTTTATTTCAATCTCTTCTAATGGAGTGGGTCTTCCCCCAAATTTTGTCGATTTCCGACCCCCGAAGCCGACACGGGAAGGTTTCCCTGTTGTTTCCCTGAACTTGAGTTATTTCCCTTTTTGGGACCTTGATTTTGGGTGCTACCATTTTGATTTCCCCAAGAATAACCATTCCCATTTTTTTTTATTATTTGGGCCATTATAACCGGATTTTTGAGCTTTCCAACCCTGGTTAATTTTCTAATTCCAATTTTTCCAATTTCCTTTTTTAAAAGGTGGACTGGGATTCTGTATTCTGGTTGTTTTTTCTAACCTTTCTATGTTTTCATTTAATCTCCCCAATAATTTGGTCAATTTAAATGAATCTTGGGTGTTACCACTCCCACTAGCATCTATGGCGTTTACATTGTTAAACTTTGCACACTTCTGTGTATCCGCCAACCTATAAGTTTCTAACCTAATTGCTAGAGTTTCGGCTTCATTTATATCCCTAGGTCGGGCCTCCCTCAGGCGCAGCCTAATGTCGGGATCTGGTAACGCGTCTATAAATTGGTCTAATGCTAATACGTCAGTGAGACTGGGCTCAGCGCTGGGATAGGCTTGTCTGGTTATTTTTTTTATTGCCTGGGCCAGCTCAGAGATGCTCTCATTTTGACCCCTCACCCGGGTTTTCAATCTTGCCCTAAACATTTCAGATCTTTCTGTGGCCCCAAAGCGTCTTTTCAAGGCTGTTATCAGGGTATTAAAATCCCTTCTCTGACCTGGGCTCAACTCTCCCAACAAACTACATGCATCTTTAGCTAAATGACCTGCTAACTGTAAAGATTTAGTCTTGTAATCCCAATTATTAAGGTCTGCGACTATCTCAAACTGAGAGAGATAATCATCAAAATCTTCATTCCCATCAAATATCCTAGGTTTAGCCCTTTCCCTCGGGGGATCCCTAGTGGGTGTTAACACATTCCTACTCCCATTGTGATCGGGAGTGCTAAACCTGTTTAATTTGGGTACACTGGGTAACTGATGGTAATCTCCCATCCCTGACCTTGAATCTTTCCTACTAAATTCTGGGAGGTCACCTGTAAAATTGAATTGAGATCCTATCATCCCTCTATTTATCCCATTCTCTTCTCCCACTCTATATTGGTCATATGAACTTGGGTGTCTATTTTCCCTAACATTGTCATTACTTAAATGTGATGGGATTTGATACGGGGGTCTATTATTTATGTGGGCATCTTTTACCCTTGTTTGATCCCGTTCCCATAAATTCTGGGATTCGTGTTTAAATTTAAAAATCTCTTCCTGCATATTCTCTAACCTCCCATCAATTTCTTCCCTAATGCTTACAAATTGCTCTCCTATCTTTTGATTCATTTTTGCAAATTCTCTAGAAAATTGCTCTTGTAAAACCTTAACTAATGACACATTTGCATTTTCAGATATGGGAGACATGGCTGCTGAGATACCTTCTGTGGGAGCAGGGAATTTCCCGTTATCCGCAATGGATCCAGCGGGACTGAAAATTTGCTGACCTATGGGTCTGAAAGTGACTTCCCCGGACTCTTCTAAATCTGACATTTCTGTGACTTTTTTTTTTTTTTATTTTTTTTATTGTATACTATGAAATTTCAATGATTGTAAAATTTTGAATTTAATAAAGCTAACCGAGAATGTGGAAAATTTCTTCCCAATCAAAGGGACTTGATCCCACTTCTGACACCAGTGTTGCGCCTCCCACCTCGGGAGAGAGTGGGGCAACTGTGTGGGCTTTCCACTCTCGTATGTTAACTTATAAATTAATAATTAAGTCAGGATAAAAGTTCAACAAATAAAATTTATTTACACTATGTACAATTAAATGTAAGTATTGTTATAATAAAAATCACAATACAATATATATACCAGTCTCTTATAAAGTGAAGTCACTCCCACAACCCGTAGGTAAAATCTAAATCTCCCAAAATAATTATAAAAATTAGCTACTTGTACTAAAATATACTTTCCTTGGTTTAATATAATTTATTTATGCCTATTCTGTAAGACCTATATAGTTTTAATAATAAATTGTACTCCCATAAATTCTCCCATAAGTTTTCCCGTCGATGGGTCTCCCACTCTACTTATGGGTCTCCCACAGGGATATCTCAGCGTCTCAATTTAATATAACTTGACTAATATAATTACCCATCTGGTCTGCATAGGGTCTGCCATCCCTTTAATGATTACCAATGATGGGAGTACTTCTAAAATAATAATCTGGAGGCTTTCGTATCCTCCCAACTTCTCCCTCCTTCTCCTCTAGTCTGTTATTAACTGTGTATATTTGGCGCTCAAATATGAATAGAATGCTTAAGAACAAGGAAGTGAAATAGAGAAAGAAACACAAATGCGGTGAAATGGGCATCTCGCCCATTGTCTTAACGCTGTAGCTTAGGGTGTCTTCACCGACGTCCGCGACCCGAGTATAAATAAGGAAACTGCGTCGCTGCATTCATTTCAGTTATATCAATCTGTGCATGGGATTACCGTCAGTCTGCGATTTCATTTTTCAAAATGGCGATGTCTTCGGACTCTAGTGCTGTTCAGGTTGACACTGAAGGGGGTAAGTAATTTTTACTCATTTCTTCCATAAATTTGTTGAAGTTTGTTACAGAGAAAAAAATAAGGGTACTATAAAGTGTTTGGAATTTTTGCTTAATCATGAGGTCATTCCAAGGTTCATTACACCAAGGATATCCTTATTTTGACCTTGCATATGCTGGAAGACAATGTACTGTCATAGCGTGTGTAGCTTTGTGCTTCCTTTCATTTAATTCAGAAATTAATGACTTGACATGTGCAAACATAAATGAAATAGTTCAAGAAGGACATCACAGATATGTTGAAACAGTACAAAATCTTAACATTTTACCCAGAAATTTGCAGCATAATGAGATACCACATTACTTGCATAACTTGTTCAATCATGGTGTGGATTTTGAAGTGTCTGTGAATGAAGTATCTTGGTATGGAGTTGTTGGGGAAAGGGGTGATATTGCCTCTGGCTCTGTAAATTTATCGACGGGTGTTACTGATGCTTTTTCATCGAGCTCAAGCGTGCTTGCTACTTTTTCTGAATATTCTATTGCATTGGCACACAATGAGCTTTCGAATGAGTATTCTGTGTTTGATTCTCATAGCTGCAATCAAGATGGTTCCAGATGTAGCAATGGTACAGCTGTATTACTTACTTTTATAGATTTGGAATCCTTATCAAGATATTTAGCAACAGAGTATAGTGGTTTAACGTTTGAGTTATCATCAGTTAGGGTTCAAACAGTAAATGCATTTCAAACAGAAAGAGAACAATCCTCTTGTCCAAGAAGAGCTACTTTTAATACTGATTTAAATAAGTCAAGAAAGAAAAATTGCACAAAATCAGGAGACCTCAATAATATGCCATTTAATAGTATGACACAAAAAAATAATGGTAAATCACAGGGGGAAATATTTAGGGGCAAAGAACCATGTATGACAAATGTTGACTATGATGAAGAATATTATGTAATGCTTGACCATGATTATTTTAATTTCTCCAGGGGAAATACACAACCAACTAGACCTATGTTGCAAAGTGATCATAGTTACTCATTAAATCAAGAATATTTCAATGTTGATATTTCCAAAGATAATGTACTTCGTGTACATATGCCCCAGCATCCCTTGAATACTTTGATTGACAACTTACAACAAGTCCCCATCACAGAACATGATAGGACCTCCCATCAAAATGTAACTTCTCAAATCAATAGGTGTCAGAAGTTTGTTACTCAGATAAACATGAAACCAGAACATTGTTGTATTGTTTGTAAGCGAATCTTATTTAAAAATCAAGTTGTTATTTCTAAAGATGTGTTTGAGCAGTTCAATGTGTCTGAGGGGTGTTCATTATGCAGATTTTGTTACACATGCTTAAAGAGAGGAGAGATGTCTCCCTTGGATTATGTTCTCAATAATTTAGATGCTGGGCAAATACCCAAAGAATTGAAAGGACTCTCCCTATCTGAAAAGAGGTGCATTTCAAAGTTAAACACTTTTTTTTCATTAGTGTTGTTGCCTGCTTTTCCAGTGAGTCAATTTGGTATGAAAGGATTAGTAATACATTTGCCATTGAATGTAACTGACGTATTGCATGGATTGAAATCTTGCATGAACAATCAAAATTTAGCTGTAATATTTCCATCAAGTAATAATCAAGTTCCAAAATCTGTAAATGTTGGTAAAGTTGAATATGCATTAAGATGGTTAATGCTCAATAATCCACTGTATAATGACCTAGATGTAGAGAATGTACTGGACTCGTTATCTGCGTGTGAAAATGAAATACCATATGACATAGCAGATTTACCTGAAATAGGAACTATAGAACAAAATTATGACATGCCAGACATAAATATGTCTGATGTTTTACGGTTAAGTGGTAATTCTTATAAATTACCCATTTCTTCTTCACTCAAAGATATATTCAAGTTGCAAAGTGGTGAGGAAATGGCCTTCCCAACTTTGTTTCCTTATGGAAAATGTGGATACAACTTTCAGAGACTGAAAAAGTTAACTTTATTACAATATTATAAAGCAAGGTTATATAATACCGATGACCGTTGGAGGACAAATGTATCATACCTCTTAAGTTCAGTGAATACCTTTGAAAAATTAAAATTATTTGAGGTTGTTTCTATTTATATGAGGGTACGGAAACATTCATCTGGACAGAATTTATTACAGTTAAGCGAGTTGCAGTCTTTGAATAATAACCCAGATTTAAATAACAACTCATTTATGTTCATGAAACAGATCAGGGGGACTGTGGCATACTGGAAAGATACTTTGTTTAATTTGTTAGCCATGATTAAAAACATTGGTTGTCCAACATTATTTATGACACTTTCTGCTAATGATTATCATTGGCCTGAGCTTGCAAGTACCTTAAATGTACCGCTTGACCAACTTCCGTCAGCTGTACAAAATAACCCCCTTTTAACTGCAATACATTTTGAAAGACGATGGAGAGCACTGTTGCGTCATGTAGTCAATGGTCCTGCTCAGCCACTTGGTAAAGTACTTGACTATTTTGCTCGCATTGAATTCCAAGCAAGAGGAAGTCCACATTTGCATATTTTCTTCTGGATAGAAAATGTGCCATCTGTTTTCAATAGTTCATCTCAAAATGAATTGGTAAATTACATAGACAAAGTTATTCATACAACTATTCCTAGAAATGAGAGCAGTATTCTTTCTTCATATGTAAAGAAATATCAAATTCATAGTCATAGGCCAACATGTTTAAGGGGTAACTCCTGTAGATTTTCATTCCCTTATGAGCCTTGCAATAAAACACACCTTATTACAGGACTAGATGTTACTGGAAGTAAAAAATTCTATGAAACTAAAAGAGGTCCTGAAGATTCAATGGTTAATGCATACAATCCAATAATTTTACTTCACTGGCAAGCAAACATGGACATTCAAATGGTAAATGGACCATTTGGTGTAGCATACTATGTATGTAGTTATATTTGCAAATCAGAACCAAATACTTTAAAAAATGCATTAGCCGAGACACTGCGGAACATTCAAGACTCAGTGAATTCACCATCATTAAGGTCAAAACTTTGCAAAATTGGCTTTTGTATTTTAAAGCATAGAACTTTAAGTGCTCAAGAAGCAGCTTATAGAATAGGACATTTGCAGTTGACATGGTTTTCTAGGGAAGTTGTAAAAGTTCTTACATACACTCCTGAGAAACAATTTAAAAAATTGAAACCACAAAATGTTTTAAATCAATTGCCATTAAATTCAACAGACATCTTTGAAAACAACATTTATGATTACTATTATGCACGACCTATGCACTTGAATTCTTTGTCGTTGTTTTCATTTTGTCGGCAGTTTAAAGTAGTTCGAAAATTGGCTAAAACAATTGAAAGTTACAAATTACCCATTCCTGGAGACATTTATATACAAAGACGCACAGTTCTAGCAGTTGTTAGAACTTGTAAACCTAGACGTGGTAGTGATGATTATTACTTCAGCTATTTACTTTTGTTTTTACCCCACAGAAATGCACAAGAACTTTTAGAGCCTTATTCTTGTGTTAAAGATGCTTTTCTAAATAAATACAGATTTTTTGATAATGAAGCAATACAGATTGGGTTTCAAATGCCAGAATTAGATTCAATAATTCAATCTATTCATTTGTCAAACATTGAATTTGATATGATGGCTCCAAATACCTGTGAAAATGATACTGAACCTATATCATTACATGAAGATTTTGAAGATTCAGAGAGTATTCCTAATTTAATTTCAGAACAAAATCTTTCAAATGCAACAATCAAGGCAGATAATTGTTTAGATCTAGACAGCACAGATATGCAATGGCACTGTCTTTCAACATGCATTGATAATAATACATTGGCTGAAAAATTTAAACGGCTAACTAGAGATCAATGCCATGTATTTAAATACATAAAAGAATCAATGTTGAAGAGGCAAAAGTTTCAGATGTTCATAACAGGAGGAGCTGGTGTGGGGAAAAGTTACTTGATTGAATTCCTTATACAATATTTCAGGGTTTGTACAGCTTCATTCTCTGGGCATGATCCTGTTTTAATTCTTGCTCCTACAGGTGTGGCAGCTCATAATATAAATGGTCAAACAATTCACTCAGCTTTGAAATTACCTGTTCAACACGGTTACCATTTCAATAATAGTCAGTTGTCTGCTACAGTATTGAAGAAAATGCGTACTGAATTAAAAAGTAAGCATACAGTTATCATTGATGAAATAAGCATGGTTAGTTCACAAATGTTTGAGCTTATTCATGACCGTTTACAAACAATTCAAAATAATGATCAGCCTTTTGGAGGTTTAAATATCATAGTAGTTGGAGACTTTTTTCAGCTACGTCCAGTACGAGGAGAATTTACTTTCAAACATCAAATTCTTTGGCCTTTATTTAAACCCTTTTTTTTGCAACAAAATATGAGACAGTCAGAAGACTCTGATTATGCACAGTTATTAAATCGTGTGCGCATTGGTCAAATGACTTCTGATGATGTTGATATCTTAAAAAGCAGAATTTATGAGCATAATCAGCCAAATCCAAACATTTTGTACATTTATGCTACAAGAAAACAAGTTCAAAATCATAATTGTGCAATTCAAAGCAATATAAATGAAACGCATTACAGCATATGTGCTAAACATTATTTCTCAGATAATGATATTAATGTAAATGGAGATGTTGATGAAGACTTAATACCAGAAGATGACAGAGATGCAGGTGGACTACCATCTGTTCTGGTGGTATCTATTGGTACAAAAATTATGTTGCTGAGAAATTTATGTGTCAAATATGGATTAATAAATGGTGCTCGTGGAGTAATTTCTAGTGTATCAGTAAATGAAAATGAAACAAATGTTAACAGTTTAAATGTAAAGTTTGACAACTCTGAAAAGATTCCACTTACTGTATCCAATAGCAATGGTTCTGTAACTCTGTTTATGTACAGGCAAGAATTTTTAAGTCATGGTCGCTATATTATTAGAGAAACATTTCCATTAATGCCATGTTGGGCAGCAACAGTACATAAGGTGCAAGGGTTATCCTTGCATAAAGCAGCAATATCTTTAAACAACTCGTTATTTCAGCACGGCCAAGCTTATGTTGCTCTAAGTAGAGTTAGAACATTAGAAAATGTACAATTATTAAGCTTGGCTTTACATAAAATAACTGCTGATCAAAGTGTTATTGAAGAGTATGTAAGATTGCACAGGAAAAAAAATGAACCATGAACAAATTATATGAGTTTAGAAATGCTATATTACAAATAAAAACCAAAGTCAAAATTAGTTTGTATTTAAAATTTTCATCATGTTTGCCTCTCAAATACCCAAATAATAAAAATTTTGCTGTTGGAGATTGTACTTAGTTACCTTATTCATTAATTCAAATATTACACACAGCATTTCCATCTTCTTATTAATTTATTTGGTAAGTTGAATTTAAATCACTAATACAAACTATTGCCACTCAGTTTATGCTCCTCGGATTCTTGTATTTTATACTCTAATGACTAATATTTCTTTTCTTGCTTTACAGATGTTTCAACACTACAAGGCGTAAAAAATCTGCAAGGAGAACACACCCTTAAGTCATTTCTGACTGTTAAAGTGTTGGAAGTTTCGGCTCCAACATCATACACCTCAAAGAAGAAGGGAGCGAGTCAAATGGTGACCGCCAAAATTGCCGACTCTACAAGTCACACAGAGGTGCATTTGTATGACGCATCAAAATTTCCGTTATTTAAGGAAGGAGAAGTACTCATCCTGACGGATTTTGTTAAGAAGGAAGATGGGTAAATATTTCCTGATTTTATTTTTTAAATGAGCATCAGTGACCCTTTTAAAAAAAAATCTTTCTAAAGAATTTTTGAAGTCTTACTAAAACTGTAATATTAATTGAGAAAATGGGCACAATTTGTAAGAATCTAAGTTGTAAGAATTTATGTGGAAAAGGTCACATAGTTTAATAACTTGGCTAAATTAAGGACTAGAATTAATGAATTATTTTTATAAAATTATAACATGTACAGTAATATTATTTTGTTCTTTATTGTGTAGATCTCTGGTTGTAACTCAGGTTTCCAATGTGTTCACTACCAACAAAGAAATGGTAACAGTCCCCAAAGAGGTCTTAGAAGAAGCAACAAAGAAACCAGACTGCATGCCTATATTGAGTGCAGCAACATCCCCTCATAGAACTACAGTCTCTATCAAAGGGAAAGTTGTCCTTGTATGTATCATAGCCATAACAAGATGTAATATTTCTTATATATAAATTTTTATATGGGTTTCTTAACATTTAAATTTAATCTTTATATGGGTTTCTTAACATTTAAATTTAATCTTTCTTTCCCTTAATGATAAATAAGCATATATTAATTTATATTTACTTTGCCTTTAGGCATGTGCACCTACCACTAAGAGACTACGCAACACTAGAGAAGAAGTCCCTTTTAAGAGACTAAAGGTCAAAGATGGAAGTGGAGTTGTTAACGTAGCCTTATGGAGGGAATTTGCAGATACACCAGTAAAGCAAGGCTGTTATGTCGCCCTTCATAATTTTACGACAACACAAACCTTTGACATGAAAACAAAGGCACAAAAACCTGTTCTCTCCAACAGGTCATCTCAATCAGCAGTAGAGGTAAATTGCAAACTAATATTTTTTCTTTAGCTTTCTTTCAATTTTTTCAAAATAGTTTTCAAAAAATAGTTTTATTTCTGTTTTTTTTATATGTTGTAAGATTTCAATTTATATTCTGTATAAAATGTGTTTACTTTTCATGGTTTGTAAGTTTTATCAATTTGATCATACATTTCATTTCATATTTTTCTCATATGATATACTGGTAATGGAAATAATTGAATTTTAGTTCATTCCTTCGTTTGCTGAGATATCTGATGACGACCAAGATAGTGAAGAGGAGAGTGCAGTTATGCCAACTGGAACCATAATTGGAATTGAAAGCCTCTTCACTTACAGGTAATAATGTTAATGTGTTTTTTTAGCTCACCAAAGGCAAAGGTTTTCTAATCACATCATGTTTGTCTGAATTGCCAAGTAATTTCATAAGAGGAAATAATCAAAAAATACAAATATAGTGTGTTGTTTTTAAGCATCTTGGGGAAGTGTAAAATCTAAATCATGACCTCAGAGAGTTTAGTTGGGCCACTTTTGGAAACAAGTTTTTACATAGAAATGTAAATAGGCAAATTCATTAATATCTTATTCTTGTAAAACACTGGGTCAGAAAAACTAAAACTTTTGTGAAAGAACCCTAGGGGAGCATTATTTCTACATTGTTTAATTCACAATCCCAGGACTAGGGTGGGGCCATAATTTGTAATGAAAAACTAAAACTTTTGTGAAAGAACCCTAGGGGAGCATTATTTCTACATTGTTTAATTCACAATCCCAGGACTAGGGTGGGGCCATAATTTGTAATCCAAGTTTTACATAGAAATCTTTAGGAAAAACTTCTAAAATTTTCAGGAACTGATAGGCCAGTATAGCTGAAACTTATATGATATGTGAAAGCACCCAGGGGTAGTATATATTTTAAATTATACAAATTTGGCAGTCATTGACTCATGAGGTAAAAGTCACAATAATTATATGAAGAAGAAAATGTAAAAAATAGCATAAACAAAGCAATTCAAGTGAGTGATTTGACACATGGGCCTCTTCTTATAAGTTTGTATACAAGGTTTTGATTTCATTAATAAATTAGTGCCTGAAACACTATATAAATAAATTATCAAAAGCACACTATTTGTATATATAGCCAAAATAATATTGAATTATAGTTAAATGAAATTAATTTAAAACTGGCACAAGAATTTTAAGATAATCATGAATTATTTATATTTCCCTTCTGAATTATTTTTGAACAATATATATTATAGGTGCTGCCTCATCCCAAAGTGCTGCAAAAAAAAGGTAGGAGAGGATTTCCGGTGTCCGAATTGCGCAATTCAATATACTGTGAACTCGGCAGGGTATGCTGGCATTCTGAAGGTTCTCATTAATTGTGAGAACAAAATGAACGTTTTTACAGTATTTACTGACGGACTAATACAACTATTGGAATCAATGAACTTCAAGTCAGACTTGAGCAACAAAGATGAGACCTTGTGCAGCCTTAAATCTGCAATGCCAATAAGAGTAAAATTCGCTTTCAACAGTAACAAAATTACAACCATTAAGAAGTTTTAAAACTGCAGTAAAACAAGTGCTCCTTAAGAGATTGCCCTTCCTGCTTCTGGTGACTTATTGAAACATGATTGATTTTGAGAATAAAATCAATGTATGCAGGTTTTACCATGGGACTTGAGATAATTGAAGTACAGGAACTTTAACTCAGACTAAAACAACAAAAATGAGACTTTTAAGCAACTTCAAACTGTGATGTGAAATTTTTAGCTATCAATAAGAATATTACAAAGCATCAAAAGTTTTACAACTTTTTAAAATCATTTTAAAACAAAAAAAAAAAAACCCATAATGCTACTTGACATTATTACTTGTAAAAGAGTGGTTATTAAATATGATGTAACTTTAAAGCTTCATATTATAAGTTCATTACTGGTTAATGATTGCTTCTGAGTTTTTTTTTTCTTCTTCTTTTGTATATATATTTTTAGCATAGTTGTTCATTTCTGTTTCGAAACTTTTTATTTAGTATCTTTTATAACAGTTTTTGTGTTATTAAATAAAGATGCATAAAATGTTAAAAAATGAAAAATTTACTGTTCACAATTCTCATACTTTAGGATTGTATATGCAGTTGATATTAATCAGTTAACATACCAGATGTTTTTTCCTTTTTTTTTTAAATTAATTCCTTATTTGTTTAATAGTGAATTTCTGAATGCATCTTGTGTAAATATTTTTTTTCACAACATAGCCAGTTTGTCCATTTTTTGATGTAGTTTTTTTTTTTTTTTTTTAGAAAAAAGCCATAAGACTAGTTAGCAAATTTTTTATGTGTACAAGAGGGTGCTATATGTTTTTGATATTTTATATATTGCCTGTTTTTATATGCATTGCCTAATACATTCAAAGAGGTGGTTTTCTTACAGTATTTACAAGATATTGATCATTTCATTGCTACTGTTTACTAAAATTTTTTTAGTCAAACATTGTGATAACTTGCATTCCTTTTTATACATTTATATTATATAAGTACATTTCAACTGAACTTTTAAAATCTGTAAAACTCAGGTAACTCATATACTTTTTGTACATGTTGTTTAAATTGTTAACCAACAGATTAACTGATAGTAGAATAGACATTGTTCAATTTTTTTTACTCATGTTTGTTTCTGTTTTGTTTATTACTTGAATAAACACAAGTATTGACACTAAAATTGATTCTTTCTTTTCAAGATTTCTGACATCGACCACATTGTTTTTAGTTACATTTAAGTGAGAAACAAGATGTGTTTGTGAAACACTGATGCCCCTTGTATGGCAAAATCCCAAAATAAATTTTTCTTAAATGCAAATTAAATTAATTGGTACCAAAAATATGTAATCTTACTAGAAAACAATTGTGAAATTTGAGAAGTAGTTCATTGTTGAAGTATTTATTTCAATAAGTATAAAAGTGTCCAAGGTCAAAATGTCAAGGTAATTGATATCCAAAAAACTCATGCCACACAAGAAACTATGTACAGTATGGAAGTCTTAAACGTTCAGGTTAAAAAAATATAAAGTAGGTTAAAAGTCATGGTAAAAGGGTCAAAATTCTCGGTATGAAATGAAAGATCTTGTAACAGGGATTTAATGTGTAAAATAATTGGGAGCACTAGCCTTAACCCTTTAAGGTTATAATCAAGGATTGGTTTTTAAAAGTAGGTTAAATTTAAAGGTCATAGTCAGAGTCAAAATTCAAAATGCTTGGTATCCAATGTAAGTCTTTTCAAAAGGATTACATGTATAAGGTATAAAAGCCCTAGTACTTATCGTTCAAAAAACCAATGTGAAGTTTTCTCAAGGGTACACAATATATAGAAAGATTGATTGATTGTATACTTTTTAATGCCCCTCTCCAGAATATTTCACTGATTGCCAGTGAAGGGCTGCAAATTTAGGATTATGCTAGGCACTCAGGGCCATTGAGTAGGGAGGGATCTTTATCGTGCCACACCTGCTGTAACATGCCTACATCATTGCCAGTATAAAAGTTACAGTTGGATACATTCTGATATAATAGGAGCATGTTAAACCCCAATGTGGCGGCCAACAAGAACTAACTCTTGTTAAATATTGGGTCTATTGAAAATACTGGTATTAAAAATGACCAATATAAATGTTTTGTACCGCTGTAAAATGTTTCACCAAGGAATAAAAATCCAGTGGCTGACTATCTAAGCTTTTTTCAAAAGCTAAACTTGTATACCTTTACTGTACCCACTGGTAACCTCAATTAGCCAATCGCTGACCCGGAATGACCCTACGCCACTTCCGGTATAAACAAATCAGGGAAAGTGCACGCAGAGAAGTTTTCTAATAGAAAATCATTACTAACCATACAAAATGGGATTTTATCTACCAAAATACGATAAGTACAAGTAGCTATTACGTTATTAAGTTGATTTAAACAATGACAATACAATGTTCAAAGACGAAATGTGATAATTGACTTCAAACATGCTATCGAGATCGAGACCGGGTCGAAATACAGTGAACCCGATTCCAAAACAATATTATATGATTGACAGCATATAACTTATTTCTTTTACAACTTTTTAATATGTTTTACGGTGTGACCGTTGGGACGAGCGCAGTTTATTTACTATCAAAAACTTACACATGTACTGTCTATCATTCAAGAAAAAGAAAGCAAAAAGAATAAAACAAAACTATAAAAAGAAATCATTTCCCAAGCATCGGGATCGAGATTCCAAACTTCTCGGAAGTTTCCGACAAAATTGGAAATACCCGAACCGTTGAAGTGACGAAAGTATGACGTCAGATGAAAAGCTCTGTTGACTTAGGACGCAAACGCTAGTTTTATGGAAAAGAGATTGCATTTAATCGTTCTTTTCAAGTAAGTTGTTGCTATGCACCGCAACATGTTTTCCGAGTTTCACGGAAGCAACCGACATAACTTCGTCAAAATTCGTAAGTTTCCGGTGACGTCATTTGTATCATTTCCGAAGGGCAAGGTGAAGGCCGGTGTTGTGGCATGGGGGTATTTTTTTTTTAATAAGGTAGGGCCTAAGGCTAAATCATTTCGTTAAGATTTCGGTAAGAAACAATGTTCCTTTCATTTTTTTACTATTTTTGACTTATTCGCGCAAAGGACATTGGGTAGTGCAGGAATTCTGGGAATGTTGCACAGAGAAATTTGGCTGACGTATGTACGGATTTCAATCCGAATTTCCTCTGTTCATACACGTTAGTCTATTGAGCTCGCTTCGCGAGCGTCGCTTTGCGACGCTCGCTGCGCTCGCTATTAATTATTTAATAACAAACAATCATGTACATATCAATATGCTGATAACAACTGCATACGCTGCGAGTGATCAATGAAATATATAAAAGTGACGAAACGAATTTCGTAACAACCTATATGAATGATATAAACAAAATTATAATCATGATCTTTTTTTTCAGACCCTGGTTGCTATGATCTGACAAAGAAATCCACAGTACAGAATCCAACTACAGCAGCGTCTGTCCCTACCTCTGATACAAATGTACCGACTGAAAATATGTCCATGGTTGAAGAGTGAGTTATATAATTAACAAGTGTCACTTTTGTACTTGTTCCGAGTCCTTTTGTTTATTTTTATCAATGCTAGGAAAAAATGTATTGACACACTAATAAATTCCCCTGTACGCTTTGATGTAATATTCTCTTGTATGCAAAGAAAGATAACTCTTTTAGACACTATGTTCCATTTAAATGTTTCATCATTCAAAGAGTTATCCTTCCTTTGGTATCTAAACCTGTTATCTATTATAATCATCATCAATCATAGAAAATTTATCTGCAGACACTTTGATTCATTTATTTCATTATGATAAAATAATATAGTGTATAAAAAATCTTTTAATGATATTTATGACTTTATTCATATATATTTAAAAAAAAACATTTTTGTGTAGCCATTTTTTTCATTTGAACCTCAGGCCCTTATTCAATTATTTGATATTAAAATATCAACTGAAAGTCAAGAACATTAATTATAAGCATCAATTAATAGTTATGATTAAAATGATTTAATTTGTTTGCTCTTTTGTTCCCTTCATTTATAGGTCAGATATGGAAAATGTTAAAGATATAAACTTGGAACTTATTATTGAAATCACTATTACAATTGGAATCCTTCTGGTAGTTGGAACCGCTGTTGCAATTTTTTTACTGAAGAGACGTCAAGCTAAATCTAAAGAGCAATGCCTTACTGAAAAAGGTAAAATTATGACATGCATTTATATTAATTCGAGTATTTATTTCACACAGATTCTCATATCCCCCTCTCCTTCCTAAGTTATTTCACTAAGTATCCAATAGGCACCAGCTTTCCCACCCCGTTCATCGAAATTGCACTGTAATGCATCATTTCCTATTTCATATTGGTTACTAGTTAGCATTTGTATCAGCAAGAATTATAGTAACCTTCCTTAATTTTTTAAGAATTAATGATTAACTCATAAGATTTCAAACTTAATGCTAGATTTTCTTACACATTCTTAATTAATAAAATACATGTATTTTAGAAACAGTAGAAGAGAATGGTCAACTCATGAAGGAAAATGGAAAAATAGGTAAATATTGTGATACTTGATTAAATATGAAGGATAGATTAATTTGAACTTCCCTGATCAAAATTTTTATGCTCTCTGTTGTTGCGGTGTGCCATTGTTGTAAACTTTTCAGAATTTAAACCTCTTCTCCAGAACAACAGTCCAATTTTTACCAAACTTGGCACAGGGAATCCTAGTGTAAAGGGTATTCAAATTCTTTTCAGATGAATGACCAAACAATACCAAGGAGCAATAACTAAGAAATAATGCAGATTTGTTGAGATCTTAAAAAAATCACTGAAAAACCCATTAAAAATTAATTTTAGTGATATTAAATTTTTGCTATCTCACAATGCATGCTAATGATGCCAAAATTGAATCCTTGCAAAAAATTTTCTTACACAATAATTGTAAAAATTTTACAGAATCTTACATTATCTGTTTTTGTCCATCGTAGTGTGTCGTGTGTTTACATTTAAACATTTTCATGCTTCTTCTCTGAAACCACTGAACCAATTTAAACCAAATTTGGTATACAGTGTATATGGGTAAAGGGGAAGAAAAATTGTGAATTTTTTATCCCTGCACCCCTGGGGCCTTAGGGGTGGGGCAAAAACTACAAAAACTAATGAAATCTTTAAAATTCTTCCTCTTTATTTCATGACACCAAGCAGTCAAACTGTTGGCATGAATGTAATGAGCAATGAGTGCACTACCAAAATTGTGAAATTTATGGCCCCAGTGTCAGGATTTCAAGTGCTAGGACGTGGCTATATAGATTATATTCTGAGAATGCATTTTTATGCCCCCCTTCGAAGAAGGGAGGACATATTGCTTTGCTGCTGTCTGTCGGTCCGTCGGTCTGTCGGTCCATTTAGTTTCCATTCATTTTCTGAAATGAAATTTGGTATACAGATATATCAGATAAATATCTAGGTCAACTGTTGTTTCGGGTACGATCGCGCCATTTTTGACAGAGTAATGCCCCTTGGACTTAGAAAAAATTCAATTATTTGCAGTTTCCGTTCATGTTCTTTACAACCGTTGCACATATTTAGATGAAATTTAGTATGCAGATATATCACATGAATATCTAGATCAAGTTTTGTTTTTGGTATGATCGCGCCATTTTTGACAGAGTTATGCTCATTGGACTTAGAAAAATTCCAATTATTTGCGGTTTCCATTCATTTTCTTTGCAACCGTTGCACATACTGAAATGAAATTTAGTATACAGATTTATCAGATCAATATCTAGGTCAAGTTCTGTTTTGGGTACGATCACACAATTTTTAACAGAGTTATGCCCCTTGGACTTAGAAAAATTTCAATTATTTGCAGTTTCCGTTCATTTTCTTTGCATCCGTTGCACATACTGAAATGTAATTTTGTATACAGATATATCAGATAAATATCTAGGTCAAGGTTTGTTCTAAGTATGATCGCGCCATTTTTGACAGAGTTATGCCCCTTGGACTTAGTAAAATTTCAATTATTTGCAGTTTCTGTTCATTTTCTTTGCAACCGTTGCACATGCTGAGATGAAATCTACTATGCGGATTTATCAGATGAATATCTAGGTCAAGTTATGTTTTTGGTACGATCGCACTATTTTAAACAGAGTTATGCCCCTTGGACTTCCGTTCATTTTCTTTGCAACCGTTGCACATATTGAAATGAAATTTTGTATACAGATATATCACATTAATTTCTAGGTCATTTTTGACAGAGTTTTGCCCCTTGGACTTGGAAAAATTCCAATTTGGGGGAGGGGGCATAAGTGTTTTACAAACATCTCTTGTTTCTTTAAGAATCTTCTCTTCTCTTAGGTACGTGTATTAAATAAACCAACTAAGTGCGTAGTCATGATTAGCAAGACTGCCTCTACCAAAATAGTGAATTTTATGGCCCCAGGGTCAGGGGTTCTGGTGCTAGGGTGGGGCTCTATTGATTATATAGTGAAAATACATTAATTATGTTCCCCAAACGAAGTTGGGGAACATATTGTTTTTACTCTGTTTCTTATTATTATTATTATTATTATTATTATTTTTCTTCTTCTTCTTCTTCTTCTTCTTCTTCCTGGAACTTTTTTGTCCGGGAATGATAATGTAAACTGTTCGTCCTATGTAGGTAAAACCTTTTTAGGGTTAGTAGACATGTTATGTAGATTTGCGGAATCAAGGTCATTTTGCGCGCACGTGCTTGCAAGAGCGTGCACGTGCAACACGTGAAATGACCAATATAATAGATATAGCCACAACTTTTCTATTTTTAGATGAAATGCTTTGAAACTCATAATGTGAGGAAATATTAGTAGTATAGACATGACGACATGGTGAAAATAGCAAGATCTCACGCGCATGCACGTGCACTTCGCTCTGATTGGCTGCAACTAAAGTCTCAATATCTTTCTTGTTTTTTGACGAAATCCTTTGAAATTTTGAACATAGCCATGCATTAGGATATTCTACAACATGAAATAAAGCAATTATCATGAAAACACGTGCATGCACGTGCGCTGCAATCTGATTGGCTGAAACTTTAAACAGCTATAACTCCCTTGGTTTTTAACCAAACAGGATGGGATTTGGAACATAGATAGATATAATGGACTTCTGCAAGTAGGTATGGTCACCATGCACAGGCAAACACGTGCGTGTACATGTGCTGCAATCTGATTGGCTGAAACTTTAAACAGCTATAACTCCCTTGGTTTTTAACCAAACAGGATGGGATTTGGAACATAGATAGATATAATGGATTTCTACAAGAAGGTATGGTCACCATGCTCATGTATGCACGTGCCTGCACGTGAAATGAGTAAAATCAAACATACACTTGAATGAGCGTATTTTTTAAATAATTCTGGATTAAATACTTTAATATTCAGTGTATTAAAAATATAGATTGTGTAGACAAGATGATATGGTCATGACGCAAATTCATTCACATGTGCACGCGTGCAATGCTAAAGTTTAAATGATTTTTGTACACTTCTTTGTAAATGTTGTTAAAATCTCAGATGCATAGAGTTTGTCTTATTTAATGAAGCTTACAGGGAATATGGCATCAAAAGGGAGTTGGGGAGCGTTTGGGGAACATCTGTAACGGTCCCCGTTACAATTAGCACTAGTTCTTTGAAACTTTTCTTCTCTGCTCCTAGGTAGGTATTGAATAAACTAATTAAGTACATAGTTATGATGAGTACTACTGCCTTCCCCAAAATTGTGAATTTTATGGCCCCAGGGTCAAGGGTCCTGGTGTTAGGGCAGGCTCTATTGATTATATAATGAAAATGCATTGATTCCTTGAAAATCTTCTTCTCTTATCCTTGGTATTAAATAAACAAATTAAGTACATAGTCATGATAAGCAAGACTGCTTCTACCAAAATTGTAAATTTTATGGCCCCAGGTTTAGGAGTTCTGGTGTAGGTCAGGGTTGTATTGATTAATTATATACACATGTAGTGAAAATCTACACTAAATCTTTGAAAATATTCTTCTCTGCTCCTGGTTTATTAGCAGATAAACTACCTATATAATTATGATGCGCTAGGGCCCTTCTTCTAGATTGATGAATTTCGAGGCCCCTGGGAAGACTAGAAGAGGTCTCTTCTTATATACTGGAAATGAATTGTTCATAATCTGATCTTTGGTATCAATAAAGCATTTTTGATAAGCAAAGGTGCCTTTTCAAAAATTGTGCAATGTGTTGATCTAGGGTCAGCGGTTCATGTGTTATAGGGGCACTACTGATTATTGCTGAATGTTACTGATTAGTTGAAATGCATTTTTTGTTCCCCTACCCTGCCTATGGGTATTAAGTAACAAAACTAAGCAATTGCTTATTGTATAGTTATGATTAGCAATGGTGCCATTTCAAAGAATGTGAATGGCATAACATCTAGCTTAAATCATGAACCAAATTTAATCAGTTGAAAGTGGGTGCATGATTCTCAGGTGACCTATAAGGCCCTTTGGTCTCTTAATTGGAATATTGACAATAGTTGGAGAACATCTTGGCCAGTTATTGTAATTTTTTTTCTCCTTATCATTAGTCCAAGTAAGGTGTCCATCATGTATTAGTCCAACTAAGTTTAGCTGTCTGTCAACCTGTCTGTAAACAATTTTTAAAAATCTTCTAGCTGCAGAACTCTAACCTTATGGTTTTCTGTATTTGTCTTTTACTATAACGCTGCAGATCCTGTTATGCAAAAAATGTGAAATTTCTTTACGCCCATTTGGGGAGAATATCTCCACTTTTCTGCATATTGCAAATAGCTACTTTTTCTTCCTAACTGGAGACACGTTCTTAAACTAATCTGTATATCTCATCCAAGCCCCAACCCTTTATAGCCATCTCTACTTGCCATTAACTGGTTTGAAATGAATTGTCTGTTGGATTTCCGAACATTCCAGACAGTGAGTTTATCACCTGAAGAGACAACTATAAAGGGTTTTGAGGTGGATAATAAATACAGATTGGTTAAGGAATGTGTCTCAAATTACGGATCTAATTGACCAATGCTGGAAAATGGAGAAATTCTCCCCAAAAGTGCACAAAAAATTGTGTGCCATAAATTGCACATTTTTGCCTTTGTGAATTTCATAGCCCCCAGGTTAGGGGTTTCTGATGTAAGGACAGGTCTCTATTGATTATAAATTAAAATACAACAATTGATTGAAAATCTATGCTCCTGGGTATTTAACAAACCAACTAAGTATATATTTATGATGAGAAAAAATGTCTCTTCCCAAATTATGAATTTCATGGGCACTGGGTCAGGGGTTCTATGGTTAGGGTAGGGATCTATTGATTAATAGTATATAACGAAATACACTTATTCTTCAACAGGTTTAAAAAATTTTCTCTGCTCCTGGGTATTAAATAAATACCAAGTAAATAGTTATGTTGAATAAGACTGCATGCCTCATCCTAAATCGTGAATTTCAGAACCCCTAGGTCAGAGGTTCTAGTATAAGGGCTTTATTGGTTTTATGATTGATTGTATACTGTTTAACGTCCCTCTCCAGAATATTTCACTGATATGGAGACGTCACCATTGCAGGTGAAGGCCTGCAAATTTAGGCCTATAATCGGTACCTACGGCCTTTGAGCAGGAAGGGATCTTTATCGTGCCACACCTGCTGTGACACGGGGCCTCGGTTTATAAGGTCTCATCCAAAGGACCGCCCCATTTAGTCACTTTTTACGACAAGCAAGGGGGTTCTGAGGACCTATTTTAACCCGGATTCCCACGGGGCTTTATTGGTTATAAAGTGAAAAAGCATAAAATCTTTAGAAATCTCTCCTCTTATCCTGGGTTTTAAACCAAAAAGCTATGTACATGTATATACATGTAGATATAATAAGAAAGGTTGCCTCTTTCAGATTTGTGAATTTCATGGCCCCTGGGTCAGGGGTTCTGGTGTTAGGGCAGGGCCTTAATGAATATGTCGGGAATGGTATGAATTTATTTGAAAATATTTTCCTTTGCTCCATGTTTTATTATGACAATGATCTAAGTAAATGTACATATTTATGATGAAGAAAGGTGCCTCTTCAAAATTGCTAATTTCAGGACCCTGATTCAAAAATATTTGTAAGGGGGCGTGGGTGTTGATTACATAGTCTGAAAATAAATCAATCCATTTATGATAAAATATGATTAATGGCAAATTTTAAAAATTTTGAAATATGTGGCCCCAGGGTCAGTGGTTCAGTGGGTTAGTGGAAATGCATTTTCTCTTTGTTACTCTTTTCTACCTTTAGCCTAGGTATTAAGTAACCAAAGCATGCTTAATGTACAGTTATGATAAGAAATGGTACCTCTTTCAAATTTGTCAATTTAATGGCCTCTGGATTAAAGCATGATCCAAATTTAATTGCGTTCTGGGTTTCTTGTTTGTGTTCACTTTTTCAGAATGGTTGTATAGCGTAAAAAAGGGTGTTATGCTATGAAAAATAAAACACCAGTATCTAATTAATGCATATGTTTGTCTTGTGAATGTTTGATCATATATACAAGTATGCTTTGTATCATCTGTATTTTGCACAGACTCTAGTACACGTTTATAAAACTGAATTTAAGATATGTAAAACTTATAGCCTTCTCCTAATCCGTAGATATTTAAGTTAGTTTGAACATATTTTATTTTATAAATACTATTCAAATACTTTTAGCTCACTCATTTTAAAATGCAATATAACCCAATTAAGATACTTTAAATAATACTTAAATTTAACACTTTGCCTGAGTTATAATTTGTATCCTTTAATATATAGTTAATATAGTATAAATGAATATACCTAAGAAATTAAATATTACCCAACATGGATATCTTGAATATTACATGAAATTAACACTTTACCTAAGTTGTAATAAGTATCATTAAAAAAATGATATGTATTTTAGATAGTGAAATTGAATACCTTAGTAACTGAGTATCATTTAAAAAATGATATGTATTTTAGATAGTGAAATTGAATACCTTAGTAACTGAAGAGCTCTTATGTTTAAATTATAGGAGAAACAATTGAGAAATTATATAAAAAAGAGTGATTTCAATGAAATTTACATCCTTATCAACTGATTGTTATGTAATACGGAATGGCAATTATTTTACTTTTTTTATGTCTCCTGCGCCAGACCTTGAAGCTACAAAAGTGATCTGATTTTATATAATTTTGAATGAATTAGTTAATTATAAACATATTCAAGTACAGAGTACAAAAAGAGATAAAAATTAGGATGGACTTAATTGGTATATCAGTGCACACTTGATAATTGATCTGTACAAGGTTGCAATTAACATAATTATATCTGTACTTAACTGCAGGAAACAATTAATTAAAATAATTAAGGAGAGTGAGTTTGTACATAAAGTACATTTCTAGAAACATCATGACGAATTTCATCTAAATGATTTGTTTTTACTTTTGTAGAAGACAGACTGATGCAGATTGAGCCTTAAATATTGCATAATAAAATTAAAAATCAATATTGAAGAGGAGGATCAAAAACTGGGTATAACAACAAGTCACATTTAGGAAATTCGCCAAATTTCTCCAATGACTCAAGTGCTTTGATCAGGAAATATATGAAATATCCATAAAATACTCTAACAGACAAGAAAGCTCTTTAGTCCAGAATAAGCATGACTGGAAGGTCATACATGTATAACTTCAGGACCAACCAGTCTGACTGTTATTTAATCATTGAGTTTACAATGATTACACATTTTAAGTCTGACATGGTTACATTAATTTCTAGAGACATATTAATGCAATTTTAAGGTGCTGTTGTTCTGAAGTTAATGTCATTATGTGTGGTCTGTATGTACAATTTGTGTGTGTTTACATTATACATGTATAAATATTGCATTTAGTTGAACTAACATTTAAAAATTTCACACCAAAAACAATTTTAAACCAAGCTAGGTGCAGTGAAGGCTGAAGAAGGTTTTAGAGGGGTGCAAATTTTCAATGTTACACTCAGCTACATGCAATGTTTATTAAGTGATACTGAATGTTTTAAATTACAGCGATCCTTGTGTGCATAAATTCTGGCAACATCACATTCATAAAGCAATGTTGACTGTTGCTATGATGGAGGTCGTGCTTCTGATCACATTTTGTCCGTCTGTCCTTCTGTAAACTTTTAACATTTTCGACTTCTTCTCAAGAACCACTGAGCCAATTTTGATCAAAATTGTTACAAAGCATCCTTGGGTGAAGGGGAATTTGAATTCTTAAAATGAAGAGCCAGGTCCTCTCCCAAGGGGAGATAATTAAGAAAAGACAAAAATAGGGTGGGGTCATTAAAAAAAAATCTTCTTCTCAAGAACCACTGGACCAGAAAAGCTGAAATTTATGTGGAAGCATCCATGGGTGGTGTAGATTCTAAATTGTTAAAATCGTTACCCCCAGGGGTTGGGCGGGGCCATAATGGGGAATCCAAGTTTTGCATAGGAATATACAGGAAAAATCTTTTAAAATCCTCTCAAGAACCACTGGGCCAGAAAAGCTGAAACTTATGGGGAAGCATCCTTGGGTAGTGTAAATTCTAAATTGTTCAAATTATGATCCCCGGGGGTTGGACAGGGCCACAATCGGGAATTAAAGTTTTACATAGAAATATATAGGAAGAATTTTTAAAAATCTTCTTTTCAAGAACCACTGGGCCAGGAAAGCTGAAACTTATGTGTAAGTATCCTTGGGTAGTGTAAGTTCTAAATTGATTAAATCATGACCCCGGGGGGGGGGGTGGGGCTACAATCCGGAATCAAAGTTTTACATAGAAATATATAGGAAAATCTTTAAAAATCATCTTTTTAAGAACTACTGGGCCAGGAAAGCCAAAACTTATGTGGGAGCATTCTTTGGTAGTGTAGATCAAAGTTATAGATAGAAATATATAGGACAAATCTTTTTTTTAAATCTTCTTCTGAAGAACTACTGGGCCAGATTAGCTGCAACTTATGTGGAAGCATTCTTGGGTAGTGTAGATTCTAAATTGTTCAAATCATGACCCCCGGGGCTGGGCGGGGCCACAATAGGGAATCAAAGTTTTACATAGAAATATATTGGAAAAATCTTTAAAAATCTTCTTCTTAAGAACTACTGGGCCAGGAAAACCGAAACTTATGTGGAAGCATCCATGGGTAGTGTAGATTCTAAATTGTAAAAATCATGACCTTTGGGGTTTGGATGGGGCCAAAATCGGGAATTAAAATTTTACATAGAAATATATAGGAAGAATCTTTAGAAATCTTCTTCTCAGGAACCACTGGGCCAGAAAAGCTGCAACCTATCTGGAAGCATCCTTGGGTAGTGTAGATTCTAAATTGTTCAAATCATGATCCCTGTGTGGTCTGTATGTACAATTTGTGTGTGTTTACATTATACATGTATAAATATTGCATTTAGTTGAACGCAACATTTAAAAATTTCACACCAAAAACAATTTTAAACCAAGCTAGGTGCAGTGAAGGCTGAAGAAGGTTTTAGAGGGGTGCAAATTTTCAATGTTACACTCAGCTACATGCAATGTTTATTAAGTGATACTGAATGTTTTAAATTACAGCGATCCTTGTGTGCATAAATTCTGGCAACATCACATTCATAAAGCAATGTTGACTGTTGCTATGATGGAGGTCGTGCTTCTGATCACATTTTGTCCGTCTGTCCTTCTGTAAACTTTTAACATTTTCGACTTCTTCTCAAGAACCACTGAGCCAATTTTGATCAAAATTGTTACAAAGCATCCTTGGGTGAAGGGGAATTTGAATTCTTAAAATGAAGAGCCAGGTCCTCTCCCAAGGGGAGATAATTAAGAAAAGACAAAAATAGGGTGGGGTCATTAAAAAAAATCTTCTTCTCAAGAACCACTGGACCAGAAAAGCTGAAATTTATGTGGAAGCATCCATGGGTGGTGTAGATTCTAAATTGTTAAAATCGTTACCCCCAGGGGTTGGGCGGGGCCATAATGGGGAATCCAAGTTTTGCATAGGAATATACAGGAAAAATCTTTTAAAATCCTCTCAAGAACCACTGGGCCAGAAAAGCTGAAACTTATGGGGAAGCATCCTTGGGTAGTGTAAATTCTAAATTGTTCAAATTATGATCCCCGGGGGTTGGACAGGGCCACAATCGGGAATTAAAGTTTTACATAGAAATATATAGGAAGAATTTTTAAAAATCTTCTTTTCAAGAACCACTGGGCCAGGAAAGCTGAAACTTATGTGTAAGTATCCTTGGGTAGTGTAAGTTCTAAATTGATTAAATCATGACCCCGGGGGGGGGGGGGGGGGGGGGGGTTGTGGGGGTGGGGTGGGTGGGTGGGGCTACAATCCGGAATCAAAGTTTTACATAGAAATATATAGGAAAATCTTTAAAAATCATCTTCTTAAGAACTACTGGGCCAGGAAAGCCAAAACTTATGTGGGAGCATTCTTTGGTAGTGTAGATCAAAGTTATAGATAGAAATATATAGGACAAATCTTTTTTTTAAATCTTCTTCTGAAGAACTACTGGGCCAGATTAGCTGCAACTTATGTGGAAGCATTCTTGGGTAGTGTAGATTCTAAATTGTTCAAATCATGACCCCCGGGGCTGGGCGGGGCCACAATAGGGAATCAAAGTTTTACATAGAAATATATTGGAAAAATCTTTAAAAATCTTCTTCTTAAGAACTACTGGGCTAGGAAAACCGAAACTTATGTGGAAGCATCCATGGGTAGTGTAGATTCTAAATTGTAAAAATCATGACCTTTTGGGTTTGGATGGGGCCAAAATCGGGAATTAAAATTTTACATAGAAATATATAGGAAGAATCTTTAGAAATCTTCTTCTCAGGAACCACTGGGCCAGAAAAGCTGCAACCTATGTGGAAGCATCCTTGGGTAGTGTAGATTCTAAATTGTTCAAATCATGATCCCTGGGGCTGGGCGGGGCCACAATAGGGAGTCAAAGTTTAGCATAAAAATATATAGGAAAAATCTTTTTGAAATCTTCTTCTTTTTGAAAGTCGAAACTTATGTGGAAGCATCCATGGGTGGTGTAGATTCTAAATTGTTAATATCATGACCCCCGGGGTTGGACGGGGCCAAAATCGGGAATCAAAGTTTTACATAGAAATATATAGGGAGAATCTTTAAAAATCTTCTCAAGAACCACTGGGCCAGAAAAGCTGAAACGTATATGGAAGCATCCTAGGGTAGTGTAGATTTTAAATTGTTTAAATCATGACCTCCCGGGGGTTGGGTGGGCTACAATCGGAGATCAAAGTTTTAGATTGAAATATACAGGAAAAAATCTTTAAAAACCTTCTTCTCAAGAACCACTGGGCCAGAAAAAAATGAAACTTATGTGGAAGTATTTTTGGGTAGTGCAGATTATAAATTGCTAAAATCATGGGTGGGGCCACAATCGGGAATCAAAGTTTTACGTATAAATATATAGGAAAAATCTTTTTACAAGAACCACTTGGCCAGAAAAGATGAAACTTATGTGGAAGCATCCTGGGGTAGTGTTGATTCTAAATTGTTCAAATCATGACCCCCAGGGGTTGGGCGGGGTCACATTAGGGAATTTGAAATGTCCAAATTAAGACCCTTGGGGTTTGATGGGGTCATAATAGGTATTACAAAGGGGAAATCTGGTTAAGAATCACATGGTCAAAACTTCTCATGTGAGCGATGTGGCCCATGGGCCTCTTGTTTAGCGTGTATTACTGTTTTTTTTTTCCAAATTAATGTTTCTCGATGTGTCAAATTCAACAAATTTACATGAAAGTATAATGCATGGACATGCAAATTTTCCCCCTACATAACATAGTTTGATTAATAAGGCGTATTTCAGCCTTTGTTTAAACAACTCATAGTGAGATCAATGTCAAAATAAGGCAACGTGTTCAACACGTTGAATTTATACTGTTGGTGTTCAAACATGTTGCAGGCGTTTCTAACCAAAATTTATTTACTAGTAATTTATTTTAGGTGCATATGTAAATATTCTTGTAGGTTTGTTCACATTTCCTACAATGATCTGCCTTCTTTGACTGATAGTACTTTCAGAGCAAAATTGTATAATTTTACTCCAATTAAAAAACACCTGGCTATTTTGATTTAAAACATGTAATCAATACCTGCTAGGCCTTGACATCTGTTCTGGATTTATGCGGAAGAAAACTATCAGTGGAAAAAAGATCTGATGGTACACATGTAGCACTTTTTTTTTTTACCTAACATATTTTATTTGACACTGTCATGTATGTTACTTATGCCAACACTTACTAACCGGTACTACATTGTAATTTTTTTCTCTACTCTTTTTTTTCTTATTTCTTTGTTACCATGTTTGTCTATTTATTTTCATACCTATATACAATGTATTGTGTGTTGATCTTGACCTTGTATGGAGAGGGCTAAAATTGGCTTTGCCTGCTGCCCGATCCCATTTACTTTATGTGAATAAAATTTTGTATGAATAAAAA